GTGACCTGCCTGGAGTCACTTATTGGCCTCTTATCCGAATTCATTACAGAACAATATGAAGTCATTGCTTCTATTAATGGACAAAAGGTAGGCTGGGCCTATTGAGGGGCATACGTCTGTAATCCCTGTTACCTGGGAAGCACGGATAGGGGGATTGTGCGCTGAGGTTGGCTCTGGGCAAGAAGCACGAAGCTCTATCTAGGAAAAACAAAATAACTGAAGTCACGATGGCTGTGCACGTGGCCTAATGCCCTGCGTTCTGAGCTGGGTACTGCCAGGGGAGGGCGAAGTAGCTTCTAGTCCTCCAGCTAGCCCCGTTAGGTTTGGTGCTCATCAGAGGTTCTTTGTAGAGGACAACACAGTCTTTGCAAAAATTTATTTTTTCTTGAAAACGTCCAAACAATGTCTCCTTTTGTAACTTGGAGGTTTCATCTCCTGGATGGCAAGCAAAAGCCGTCGACGCGACCGGTAACCACATGCAGGTGGCATTATTTAAAAGGATTCCTCGGGAGAGAAGAAATGGCTTCTACTCCACGTGAAGTTCAGAAGTCAGACACCACAGAACCATCTACCCGGGTGCATCACAAACATAACCCCTCTTTCCCTCTCCCTCGCTCTTTCTAAGAAAAACCCTGTCTTTGCGCCCGGAACTTAAATGAGGTCCCTGGTTTCTGTTTGTCCGTCTGTGAGGTTTTCCTTCTCTGTCTCTGAGTTTTCAGACGGGGACACAGGACCTCCCAGGACATCTCACAAGGCACAGACGTGAATGCAATAGAAATCGGGTTTTGTTTTTGTTTTTGCTTTCCTCTCTGTGGTTACAAATGCTCGTTTTCATCCCTAGGAGGCCATGCTGGCTAGGTCACTTTCTGGACTTTTCTTTCTGCACTTTTCAGAGTCGATAGTACCCCGTGTGTTTGTGCAGGTGCGTGCGTTCCTTTCCAGTTACGTGAATGAAAATGCGAACGTGAATCCCTCAATGACTCTTTGGGACATAGTGACCCATCACCATCCGTAGTTGGACCACATTGCTTTTCTTTTCTTTTCTAAACCATTTCAGGTACCTTCAGTGAGGAACATTTTTGTTCTCAAAAAACAATGAAATAAGCAGGCACCGGTGGCTTGCACCTGCTAGCCTAGCGACTCAGGAGGCTGAGATCTGAAGATCGTGATTCAAAATCAGCCCAGGCAGGAACTTCCATGAGACTTCTCTCCAATTAACCACCCAAAAAGCTGGTAGTAGTGCTGTGGCTCACGTGATAGAGCCCTAGCCTTGAGTTCAAAAGCTCAAGGACAACGCCCAGGCCCTGAATTCAAGCCCTAGGACCACCCCATCCCACCCCACCAAACAAACAAACAAAAAACCCAGTGAAATAAAAATCTTCAACCAAATGGTTTTTTTTTTTTCATGAACAAATACTTTCTTAAAAGACTGACTGAAATTGCTGGGTTCAAAGATATTTGCCATCTCTTAACATGGGTACATTCCACCAAGGCTTCCCCAGAGAAAAGAGGACCCCCCCTCTCACCCCCAACCCTCATCATCGGCTCTGGTCCTCCGGATATGTCTCCTCACATCACATCCAGCATTACGTCTGCCGCCTCTCCATACGCGTGTAGCAGCGTGCAGTCCCGCTGTGTGTCATCCGCTCTCTACCCGTCTCTCTGTCACGTGGCTTTTTCTGACTAACGAAGGAGTCCTCCGTGTCATGTGGGTTTTTAAGTCCTTGTCTGTTCCCTCTACTGCCGATGTTTGTCACTGTCTTTTAACTGTGATGGTTTTGTCTTTCGCCTTGCAAGTGCATTTAATTCCATCGGCTGTGTCTGTACATCTTATCTTTTATAGCTTTTTGCCAATGTGTTGTGTAGGATGATTCCCTGCTCCCGAGGTTGATGCGAATACCTTTGTTAAGTTTTCTTCTAATATTATTATTGTTTTGTTTTTTTATGTTTAGCTCTTTAATCCATCTGGAAATGATTTTTGTATATGGTGTGAGGTAGGTATCTAAGTGTATTTTTTTAATGAATAGTTCATTGTCCCAACACTTTAATTACTAACTCTTCATTCCATATATTAAATTCCAATATTTATATGTGGCTGTGTTTCAGGCTCTCTAGATCATCCCAGTAACAAATCTGTCTATCCCTATGCCAAAACAGAGTGTTCATTAGGTAACCTGACAAAATGTTTCACTCTGCAACAGAGCAGATTTCCATCTGTTGTTTGATTCCCAGTACCTCCGATCAAGTATTTGCAACTCTCGGTGAATTTCAGATTCACCTCATCAGTTTTCATACACCATTCCATTGGTGCTTCTCATTTTGATTATGGTAGATTGAACTTTCAGGTTAAATTAAATAGATTAGGACTTTTAATCAGAAAAGTGTCTTGGAAACTTTGAGAATCTTTTTAGAAGAATGGTTTTCTTTTACCTGTTAATAGTAGATGAAACAGGAGCTATCCTCAGGTTGATACCTTTGTGCATTTCTGTTATAAACCTTATTATGGGACTCTGGTGATACGTTGTTGAATTGATGCTACACTATTCAGAGGCTCTATTTTCAGAAGAGACAATTTCACACATAGTTTAAAATACCTTTATTGGTATTCATCTATCTCAGGCTGTCGGTTAAATTTGGGTAAGATGGGCTTGTGAAAGTCTCTCTTTTAGATTTGGAAAAATGTAAATAGGATAGAAAATGTTACTAGATAGACCTCACTTATGACACAATCTAGACTTTGTACTTTTAATGTATAGATTTCTTACTATCAGTCATCTTAGTTCTAGTTTTCTACTTTCCTCAACTCTGTATTCAAATTTACTAGTGACTCAACGATGGCATCTTTTCAACTTATTGTTATATTACCCTCAGCATGTTACGTTTGGCTCTTCTGCATCTATTTCTAACCTTGCTGCATTTTCAAAGAATAGCAATTACTTGTGCGGGTCAAGCTTACTTTTGGTTCTTTTGTCTCTTTGTTTTGCTATTTTTTTAAAGGCAAAATCAGCATCTGTATTATTTCTTTTTGCTTTCTTAATTTGTCTTTTGGTTTTACTAGTTTTGTCCTTGAAACTTAGTTACATTTTAGCTATTTTAAATGTGAACGATCAAATGATTTTTCCCCCTAAAAACAACTTAGTATATATCTCATAGGTTTCAATGAATAGGAATTACCTGGAGATAACCTGTTAAAAGGTTTCCCTGGTCTTGTTAATTTCCGTTTTAGTTTAGTTAATACATACAGAAAACACATCTTGTTTTTCTTTTGTTATTTTTTTTCCCTATGTTGTCTGTAGCGATTCCTTGTAAACGTTATTTCTAGTCTGTGCTTTCTATTCCTGACTCTATTTCCCTTTATCTGTAGTCTTTTGGGTCAATTAGCTACAGATTTTTGCTTTACTTTTCCTAAAATTGGTTAAGAAGATATAGATGTTATTTCTATGATTTTTTAGAAGCCACATTAAAAATCTGAGCAGGCATATTTACATTTAAACTTACCCTCAGCAGCTGATCAGTATCCGTAAAGGGGTAAAGGTGTCACCAGGCTTTTAAGTACTTCTGTCTGTATCTACTCAAGCACTTCTGCTTGAGATGATCTGGAAACTGCATCCCAGGGTGAACACGTCAGTTTGACAGGAAGTAAAATACATAGTATTAAATTACCTTTTGCAACTAAACTAGGGACCATTATTTAGGCTTAAATTGACTTTTATAGCTTATTGGCTCTGTATTGTTGCTTATATTCCAAGTCATTGGATAGCTTGGATTTCCCCCCCTACCCTTAGTTTTTCTAGAATGCACCCTCTATCAGTTTAGGACCTTCGATTTTATGAAAGGCTGCCCGTAGTGGGATTTCTGAACTGTTGCTTCTCTGAGAGCAAATGATACCTCCAGTTGTTTCCATACCCCGGACAGAGCTATACAATGACCAAATTCCAGCTAGCAAACCATTTTTCGGCAAACCAGGATTATCCATTAGTTTTCTAGGGCACCCCCCGGGACTTCCATCTTTAGCACTGAGCTTGCCCATCCCACAGCATTTGTGTTTGTTATTCTTCCACGCGGTTCTCTATGGGAAGGAGAATTCCGTGTCTGCGGTGTGCCACATGATCTTTGTGGAAGACTCCTCTTAGCAGTGCTAAGTGCTCTTCTACCAACACATTCCCCGGGCAGAGCAACTGCTCTTGTCTCTGAAGGGGGGACGCGATTTGCTCCCCAGTTGGAAAACATGCTGTGGATTTCTTTCCATGTCCTCCCTGTCTAGCCTGCCTGGCAATGAGGATTTCTGGAAAGGTGGCCCTGAGTATTATCTTCACCTCGCCTGATGCGTAGGCAAGCCCACACGTCACTGGTGTCCCCCGTGGGCTGTCTCCTTACTGACCCTCAAGATCTTCCCGAGAACACGAGTGAACACGAGCCACCTTCTGTCTTCTTAGGGTAGATGCTACCATGTCTTTGTCTCTCCTCTCTCGTTTCATCTGCAATACCGGGTCCTACACGGTGGGGAGAGATGTGAGATTGTCCCCAGGGAAGCGCGAGCCCCAATTCTACCGCTCAGCTGTCCGTGCGGCGGTCAGCCCTCCCTCTCCACCTGGCCCGAGGGTGTCTGGTGACATCCGTGGATGCTCCACCGCCTGAGGGTCCTTACTCACGGATGCCGATCTTCCCCCCGTCCCCCACCATGGACTGTCTCTCTGGAGGACTTCACCATAGTGCTGGATTCTAAACCCTTCTGCCTGGCTTCAGCTCCCCCTGTCATCCTTCCCCCCCCCTCCCCTCCCCGTGGTGTTCGGGAGCCTAACCATTTCCACGAGGTTTCCCCCCACCCCACCCCCTCCGTGTCCACTGTCAGGGTCTAATCCCAAGCTACGTTAAGCCATGGAGACCTCAGAATGTGGTGCGTGGGAGAGGGGGTGGGGTCTGGAGAGCGCAGGCAGGTGTGACTGGTTCCGGCCGGCCGGTCACCGCTCCGTGCTCTTCTGTCTCGGCCCTCCCTGCAGGTGGGGGGACACACCATGCTCCCCATCCGCTGGATGCCCCCCGAGAGCATCATGTACCGGAAGTTCACCACGGAGAGCGACGTGTGGAGCTTCGGGGTCATCCTCTGGGAGATCTTCACCTACGGGAAGCAGCCCTGGTTCCAGCTCTCCAACACAGAGGTACAAAAGGAGCCAGGGCGGCGGGGGGAGCCTTGAGGCGGGGGATACATCAATGATATGATAAGATAAGCTGCAGGCCAGGCCAGGCCATAGGAACCGTCAGGCAGGAGGGAATGTGTTCTCATGGAGAAGAGAAGGTTTCTTAATGGGGAAAAATAGATGGTACCAGTAGGACCGGTGGTGTAGTGTGTCAAAAAGAGCACAGCATCAGACATCTACAGTTCTGAACGTTCAGCTACACTTAAAAACCACCCAGGAGCCCCGTGCTGGTGGCTCACGCCTGTCATCCTAGGTACTCAGGAGGCTGAGATCTGAGGATCGCGGTTCAAAGCCAACCCGGGCAGAACAGTCTGTGAGACCCTTATCTCCAATGAACCACTCAGAAAACTGGAAGTGGCACTGTGGCTCAAGCGGTAGAGCGCTCGTCTTGAGCTGAAGAGTGCAGGGACAGCGCCCAGACCCAGAGATCAAGCCCCATTACCACCAAAAAAAAAAAAAAAAACCCAAAACAAAAAACACTCCCAGGTACCACAAGACTGGAACATGATGACAAAGAACAATTAGTAGGTTTTTTTGTTTGTTAATCAATGTGCCATCTTATAGAAATACTACTTAGAGGGCCCAAATAATCTGGGCTGCCAAAGATTTTTCAGCACAGAAGGTCCTGGGTTAACTGGATAAAAAAAATGAAGAAGGTCACTTGGTGCTATCGATAGCAAAATGTAGGCTGATGGGAATAAAAGGTAATTGTAAGCACAGTGAGAACTACATGCTGTGATTGTACACTTTTAACCTACAACAACAATGTTATTAAATTAATGTTTGATAACAGCTAACAGCACCAGGTACTTCCCCCAAATGCTTGAGTAACCTAGTAATTGTCACAAAGCACCTGCTAAGACCATTCAGAACCATGAGGGGCTGCCTGCTTAGGACCCCAGAGGTGAGGGGCGTCTCAGAGGCTTCTCAGTTATGGGCTGAGCATGCCTGCATTGCCCTGGGGATTCTGGGCAGTTCAGCTTCCCACACTGGCTGACCTGTAGAAAACTGTTTGTCTTTTCATAGTCTTGTGTTTGCTTGTTTTTTTTCCCTAGAAAACTGTAAACACTAGGGCCTTTTAGAACTGAAATCTCATTTCAATAGTCAAGAAAGTGTCTTTCTCTCGGAAGTTATGTTCCTTGCATCCTGACCACTTAAGCGAATATCAGAGATGGAAAAGAAGGCAGTTCTTTATGTCTGATATACCTTCCCATTCCACAACTACTCAGGCCCAAGTGCATTTCCCAAAGTAGAGTGAAACACTTGGAATATCAGTTTCCAATAAGGAGTGCACCCACTTATCATGGTGTTTCAATTCTTTTTTCTTTTTCTTTTTTCTTTTTTACTGTGGGACACACACACACACACACACACACACACACACACACAGAGGCACACTGGTACATGGGTGTATTGCCTGCATAATATGCACACAAACCTGCACCTGAACGCAGCCCAGGGAAGGAAGAGAGCCCCCCACGGGGAGTGTTACTGGTGGCAGCCAAACGCTCATCCAGGACACCTGAGCCCCCTCGGAGGAGCTGATGGGGCACACACAGTCTCTTTTGAGCCTGTCTGACCTCCAAGCCTCTGACCTCCAAGGCCGGATTCCAGCCCCCAGCCAACCCCTCTGCTCCACTCACCTAGCAGGTGAGCCCCGGCGGTCACCGCTAATGGGTTTCCCCATGGTGTCGACAGCCCGGTTGGTGCCACATTAGAAGAGATGCTTTTTGAGTGCCTTTGATCTTAGGTTAGTAGCTGCTACTGCAGTTTGAATGGCTCCTTTTTCCGTGCAGGTAAAAGGTAATAAAGGTAGAAATGGGGCTCAGATACTGATAGTTGGAGATCTACCAGGCCAGCAAAGGAATGAGTCTAGTGGGTTGAGACAGGGTAGCTTGATGGGCCATTCTAGGTCAGGTCTAGTGCAGGGACAAAGGCATCAGAAGACAGAGACTCTGTGTGTGTGTGTGTGTGTGTGTGTGTGTGTGTGTGCGCGCGCGCGCGTGTGCACGCACGTGCACCTCTTCTCTTGCTCAAAACGCAAGCTATTGAACTAGATTATTCTGTGCCCTCTTAATTTTTTTTAGACATCTCCACAGCCAATCTGGAAACCACACTACAGACTTAACTAGTTTCAAGGTATACAGTAATAGGGTTAGAGTGAAGTTAAAAGTAACCTGAGGCCGGGCACCAGCGGCTCCTAGCCTTCATTAGAGCTCATCAGTGGACTTGCGGCCTTCTGCTGAGCAGCCGAGGCCGGCTGTGGATTCAACGTCCTTGTTCTCCTTTTTTTCAGGTCATTGAATGTATCACCCAAGGCCGGGTCCTGGAGAGGCCTCGGGTCTGCCCCAAAGAGGTGTATGACGTCATGCTGGGGTGCTGGCAGAGAGAACCCCACCAGCGACTGAATATTAAGGAAATCTACAAAATCCTCCACGCCCTGGGCAAGGCCACCCCGATCTACCTGGACATTCTCGGCTAGTGGCGGCCGGGGGAATCAAGACTCCCTCACTTTGTTGCCTCCTCTCTTCCCGCCTCACGTCCTCCCGACCACCAACATCCCCCAACTCCTCTCTTCCCATCCTCACCGAAGACCATCTTCATATAAACTCAAGTGCCTGCTACACATACAACACTGACAAAGGAAAACAAAACAAAAAAAGAAGGAAAAAAAACCACCAACAACCTTGTAAGGCAGTTTGGCATATATACATATATATATATATATTTATATATCTAACTATCTATATCTACAGAGACATACCTTCTCCAGTACAGAGGGAAGCTGCTGATACAGAAAACCTGAAGACTCTTAACACCTTGAGGGAAAAGAAAAACAAATTTCTAAATATTATTATTATTAATTATTGATGCAGATGAAATTCCCTTGGCATTGTAAGCTGTGGCTTGTGCTGCTTCCGGCTTTTTGGAGCAGGTGACCTTGACTTTGACCTTGTAGAGACAATCTTTTGGGGATGGGCGTGGCGAGGGTGGCGCTGGGCCACCTCTGCTGAGCAACCCGTGGCTCCTGACTCTCCCCGCGGCGGCGTGGGCACCGGCACAGACCACGGATTGTGCCTAGCCAAGAAATGACAACAGAAAAGGAGCCTTTTTTGGGGGAACATCTCACTTTGGGATAATTTTCTGATTTTCGTCTATTCTGCCAAGTATTGCATATATATATATATATATATATATATGTATGTATGTATATGTGTGTATATATATATATACATACACACATACACATATATATATACATATGCTTTGGCAAATCAAAGATGGCACCTATGGGTAAACACCAAACAACCTAAGGGGGGTGGGAAATGGTAAGAACGAATTCCTCTCCCCCATTTCCCTGAGCAAACCAGGTGCCGGTACCTTACCAGGTTCCAAAGGAATGTGTCCTTCCACCCTCCAGATCTAAAGGACTGGACTTGGCAGGACTTACAGAACCACAGAAGACAAAGCCTTCCCCAGGCCCACGCCAGCCCGCTTGTCCATGGCAGGGAAGAGCCCTGGGCCTCACCTTCTGCTCCCAGGCCCCAGGGCAGAGGGGAGGTCCGAAGCAGATCCGGGCTGCGCCCTCTCCCGCAGGGTGCTGGGGTGCTGACTGCCCAGAGCTTGTAGCTCATTGTGAGATAGGCCCCAGGGGCCTCTCTAGTTCTTCCTGGCTTCCAGAGATCCTGGTTTTCACCCCCCACCCTTCCCCCGCTGCCGTGACTCCTCAACTCCCAGGGAAGGGAATCTGGGTTTGGTGGGAGGGAGTTAGGTGGTGGCACCAGGGAGAGCCAGCAGCTCGGCCACCTGCACCCGCCCCCCCATCCTCCTCACATCTCCAGCCCCGGGGAAGGATGGATGCATCTGCCTTTGAGCTGTTGTGAAATCGCTTTTACAGGCTGGGGCTGTGGGAGGGGCAGGAGCTTCTGGGGGTGGGGGCAGGGGTTTGTCCATCTTCCAGCCCAGTGAGTGGCCAGGGCGGGGAGTCAGGATCACAGAAGGGAAGAATGCTGGGCCTCTTCTCACACGACAATGAAATGACCTTGGGAGCCAACAGCCTGACTGCCTGGAGCCCTCCTTCCATGGAAGAGAGGCCAGATCCCCCCTTCCCTCCCCACAGGGTGCCCAGCCGCCCCTCACCCAAGCACAGAGCCACCTGATGGACGGACCTCCTCCCAGCCAAAGCCTCCTGGGAGCCCTCTGATGGACCCCTCACCCTGGCAGCTCAAGAGACTGCAGCCAGATCGTTCTGGTCTGTGGGAGGAAGCTCAAGGATGGAGTCAGGACTGAAGGATGTGGATGTGGTGGTGGCGGTGATGGGGCGGGGGGGGGGGTGGCTGATGACTTCTTTTTCCTCCTCTTCCTGCTCCTCCCTCTTCCTCCTGCCTCTTCTCCTTTGCTTCCTCGGTCCTCCTCTTCCCTCCTCTTCCTCCTCTTTTGTGACTCACAAATAGAAAAGAGCTGTGCTCAGGGGGTAGCCATGGCTTGGGGCTCAGGGATGAGGGGGGCTGCTCAGCTGGCCTGGTGGGGCGATCGCTTCTCTTGCCATCCCACCGATGGTAGTGCCCGGGGCCCTCAGTCTGTGTGGAAGCAGCAGGTGCTGGGTGGATCTGCACCGCCTAGTAAACTCAGCCAGCTCAGGGAGAGGCGTTCGGGGCAGAGGCCAGAGCGGGAGTCTTTTCTGGGTAGACGGGACTCCCCGGGACTCTGGTTGCGCCCTTCTTCGGTGTCCTTTCCACCCCAGATCCCAGACAGCTTTGCATTTCTAGAACTGCGTGGTGATGGATGGGCTGGGGAGAAGGGGGGGATGGAGAAGAAATGGGTCAGGGGCTGATGAGCGACTGTGACTCAGAGAACATGCTAGGGGGTTCCACTCAGGGCCACCGAGTCAGCTGGCCGCATCAAAGGAGGTGAGGTCCCCAGTGAACAAAGAAATCCGAGCAGACTGGACTGTCCAGCTGCTGTGTTCTGAGGCCCAGGGGCCTCCATACGGCCCGTGGGTCTTGGCCTTCGACGTGTCCGCCATGAGCCGGTACCTGTGAAGTACAAGCGAGAGTGGGGGGTGGGGGAGGGCGGGGGGGAGGGGGCGTCCTCCTTCCTCACCCCTCCCCCGCCCAAGTACGCATTCTGCGCCAAACTCAGGAGCACATGGAGCACAAAGGAGACGGAGAGTAGCGGCCACGGAAATCCAAGTCGCATTTTCGGGCTCTAAGGGTATGTGGAATTCCGTGTGTGTCTTGGTCCCAGGACCCCGTCCCTGAGTGCGTCCCTTAGCCACCATGCGTTGCGGGGGACGGACCAGCTGGGGTGGGTTCTGAGCGATACTGTCCTGTCCTCTCGCCCACTCGGGTCTTAAAGAGCGTAGAGTCTGATGTGTCTGAGACTCCTTCAAGTTGGGGAGGTGGGCGGGGGGGGGCAGCAGGGGGATATTTGGTCTCATTCTCCTCTGGTCCCCTCCTAGACTTCCTCCTTACCGGAAAAGCAGTTTATTTATTTATTTATTTTTATTATTATTATTTTGGTTGGTCGTGGGCTTGAACTCTGGGCCTGGGCGCTGTCCCTCAGCTCTTCAGCTCAAGGCTAGCCCTCTACCGCTTGAGCCGCGGCGCCACTTCCGGTTTTCTAGTGGTTTATTGGAGATAAGAGTCTCACCGACTTTCCCGCCTGGGCTGGTTTTGAACCATGATCCTCAGATCTCAGCCTCCTGAGTAGCTGGGATGACAGGCGTGAGCCACCGGCGCCTGGCTATTTTTACTTTTTAAAGAGTCTTACCCCCTGCCCCCCCTCCCGTGTCCCCTCCCCCAGGCCTCTGCGGTCCACTCCTCCCCTCTCCCTGCCCCCCCCAAACAAATCTATACCAGGAAGGAACATGCTAGATGCACACTGAGAGCTTAGCCTAACGCCAGCTCCACGGTGACTGCAGGTGGCTGTGTGGGGGTCCCCCTGGGCTCCCCCTTTGCCCCCAACACGGAGCACCAGTGTGTGACTTCACAGAGTTCGCCACGGAGCAGGGCACTAGAGCCAGGGATTGCCTGCTAAGGGGGGCTCTGAACCATGAGCCAGGGGGCGGGAGGGGCCTTGCAGGTCCCTAAATTTCTTCCAGTCAACAGACGAAGGACTGTGTCTTCTTTGCCAACTCACACCCACGTTTCCTCCCCCCCTCCCAGGGCCTCCCCATGGGGGCGAAGGGGGGCTCGCGGTGTCCCGGGTTCAAGCTTAGCAGTGGCTTTCTTCTCTGGTGATTCTCTCTTGTGGAAACACACTAGTGGGTACGTCTCGGGTGCTAACAATGGGAGCCCACGCCCACCCGGGAGCGTCAGTCAGTTTTCCCGGGCTGCACGAGGAAGAACCCAGAAGTCACAGTGAGCCAGCCGCGCTCAGCAAGACCTGGCGGCCTTCCTGGCTTTGCTCTTCGCCGTCCAGGACCGCGGCGGAATGAGCTCACCTCTTCACAGGTCAGACCCGTCAGCACCCAGACATTTCCGCTACTACACAAAACTATCTTCTGGTCCCTCCTTGTTTGTTAGAACTGAGAACTAAAAGGACAGGGGAGGGAGGAGAGGAAGAAACGTTCTCCGTGTGAGGTAAAGGGTTTGAGAAGAAGTAGAGTCAGGGAGGTGAGGCAGCAGGTAGGTTTGAGGGACACAGGCCCCGGGAGCCAGGCAGCCTGCCTTTTTGTGCTCTTCAAAGGGTGACGTGTGCACCGGGCTGCAGTTCTTCAACCAGCCCTCTTCTCCACTCAGCACCGTCAAGCTCAGAGTCAGCAGAAAGCAGTCTAGCCGAGGGAGACACACAGGCTCCTTTCTCCTGGAAGCCATTGGCAATCTCCAGCACCAAGAGATTTTTTCCCCCTTTCTCCCTGCAACTGCTAATTGTACAATGTTAGAACCAAAATTGCACACTCTTACCCAAATGCTTCTCCATCCGGGAAAGGCCCGATGGCTTCTTCCCTTTCCTTTTCTGAACTAAACAGAGACGGTCTGATCTCCCTGCTGGGGTAGCGGTGTGACAGTGAGTGGTCTTGAGATTTTGGGGCAGTCCCAGGGCAGGGACTGGGTCTGAAGCCTAGAAATGCCTCTTGGCCAGCGGTGCAGAGATCAGCCCAGTGTCCCCCCAGATGCCCGTGGTCTGCCGTGCTTGCTGGCCAGCCTACTAGAACTCTCCAAGGGTGTTTGCTTGGAGCAAACCTTGAATTGCCGGCACTTTGGCTTTGGTGCCTCCAGCCCCATTTTCTTTGATACCGCATGAAGTATCTCAGCTGATACTGAATAGGATCAGGAAGGAGATGTCTGGTGTGGCTGTCAGTATTTGGACACCAGTGCTGGCTTCAGGAAATGTTGGGGGCTTGTCCAGGAATGGCGTGAGCACCACAGGGCAGGGTCCTCCTTAGGGAAGGGGGCCGACAGGAGCCGCGAATGGATTCCAATCTGAGGCTTTGTCTTTGTGCTTTCCACGTCACGGGGCGGAGTGGGGGGTGAGACTGGTTTCGGAGATGTTTGGGAAGATTCCGAAGAGGTTCAGGAATGAGATTCTGGCCCGGAACTCCACGGTCTTGTAAAGATGGGTCATTCGCTGCTCCCTGAATGAATTCCTGTTGACAGTAACGTCCGAACATCTGGAAATCATTCTTTCTGGTTTT